ACAAAATCTGCTCAGGACTTAAACATGATGAGTAACAACCCAGTATGAACAGTACCGCAATGAACTGTAAATGTGTATCCTGTTACATATTATAAAATACGTATTTTACTACATGTTATATGTTTTGTGTGTATAATGGTCCAAAGCTTATAAGGACTAAACACAGTGCCAATAATAATAATACAACAAAGGAAAACACCCAGGAAGATGAATTAACTGGAAAGGATTCCCAAGGAAAGTCTATGTTCTCGTCATTATAAACTGATGATTGCCACAGTGACAAACATTGTTTTATACTGTGAAATAATGAAAATGTACATTTTCATAAAAATTGGATATACTCCATTAAGGAAGTATTTTGAGCAGAGAGACTAAAAGTTTACTGTGCTCAGTTTATCTAAATTATTGATAATACTTTAGTTTTATTTTGGTACCTAATGTGGAAGCAGTTTAACTGCTGGCTCCTGCTAAGGCAGCCCAAAGGACAGTTCCTGCTCTGTTCTAAGTGCTGCCTGCTGCTGTAGAACTACAACCAAGGTGCAACATCCATTGAAAAAATAGAAAGAGGAAGTGTGTTTAAAGTTTTTCAGTGTTTTAATTTTAATGTATCACAAAGATATGTAAAGGTAGGCAGAGAAGCCAGCTGTTTTACTTAATTTTATAAAAGTAAAAGGTGACAGACTCCGGGGTCCTTACTTTTCTGTAATCCTCTAAGCTCTGAGGTAATACTCCTAACTATCAGCCATTATCTTTCCATTTATCTGTTCACCAAAGAATCTCCTCTCAGATGAAAAAGAGATGCTTTTAAAAAGTTTAGAAAGGTTTCCTTACTACTCAATATCACCAAATCAGGCATTTTCATTAAATCATATTATACCTGAAGTGCCTCTGAGACCATTCCAACTGTATGTTACAGTTTTATGATAATGCACTTGTCCTTTAGCTTACCCTAAAGAATTTCAATGTTAAAAACACTAAAGTCTTTAATTTTCTAATGCCAGAAACTTAAATCATTTCAGGTCAAAATGTACAGCTTTACCCTTTTTCCAATGTATCTATTGATTACTAACAATCACTTAAGGAACGTGAGTAACTTGGAGTTGACCGTGGTAACCATTTATTAAAGTACAAAATGAGTTCCTGATATTTTTACTTGAGACTATATCTAATCTAGACATTTCTTTCAGTTTATTTTAATGGAAAAATGTTGATTTTATTATATAATTTTTTAAATCAACATTGCTATCATTTCTCCTTTTGCTAGATTTTTATTGTACTGCTTTGAACATATAATATTTGAGGGCTTTTCATATTTCACCTTTCCTATAATTCTTAATGAGTTCATATACTTCAGTGAAATCAATAAGATATAAGGCTGATGATGATGTTATAATGTGCATTACCAACTAAGTTACTGAATTCCAAATTCTCTTCTCATTTATTATATGATACATTGTATTGTTTAATTGAATTTATAAAATATAGATGATTGAAATACATAATGCATGAGCCATGTGATATGATGATTTAGTTTCTTCATAATAACTCTTATTTCAAACTCTCTGAATATGTATGTAAGAATTTAATGAAGGAATGCTTTCTATCACTGGTCTGGGAGAAAATGTTGGCACTCCTGGTATTCCACCATTGGGGACTCCTTTATTATTGATTTTATCATTAGTCAGCAGTGTGAAAAAAGAGAAAACAATGCCCCACTAGGATATTTATTAAAAGTATCTCATTACAAAGAGGAGGTTGGAGTTTAATATTTTTCATACTGGGGATTGAACCCAGGGCCTCATGCATGTTAACATATGTGCTACACCTCAGTCTCTTCAATTTTAGTGTTATATAAGTATATTCTAATATAACAAAGCAGTTCTATCTGTTATACTTATTTTTAAATGTGAAACTTTCATTCATGCTCTTAAAACATAGAAATTAAACTTTGTACTAGAATTTTCAGATATTTCCAAGTATATTAAAAGAGTTTTAAAGAGGTAAAAATTCTTTATGTCTCTGCAATTATATTTTGTATGCATTTAAAGACAACAAATGTAAGAAAATTTCATTTTGAGAAACTTTGCTAGTAGAGTGCTTAAAATTACTTGAAGCTTCCTTTTTGTTAATGCTTACTCATAGTAAGCTCAACTTGGCTTTTATTATTTATTTGATTTATACTGAGCTGATGAGTCAGTAGGGGCAGTCATTCTTATATTTATCTATATTCTCATAACACTGCCTATCATTTACTGTGTAATCTTACAAAACTTCCTATTCATGCATCCTGTCTCTAAAACTTAACCACAAACTAATATATTTGTACATTATATATGGAATATAAACTTACTTTTATATATATTTTATATATGAAAATAAACTTTTACTTTTAAAATTATTCAATTAAAATAATCCCAATTTGTGTTGTTACATAAGATTCAATATAGTTTTCAAATATAATTCAAAAAAGGCACATGTCAAAATAAAGGTTTCACTTATAAAACATTGTCAGTTTGGTAGAACAGCCTTTCACAAGAAGGAAAGCAGCAATTAATGCCACCATTAGTTACGCTGAAGCATCACTAAGGTTTCTTTCTAAATGTCATTAACTATATTTCAGTGCTCCAGAGACGTGTAACATGGTACTTCCATTCAGTTGTTTCTGTAAGAAGAAGTACAGACTCCCTCATTTCTTTGCCATCGTATGAACTGAGGTATGTAAATCTCTTATCTCAGACATAAGTGTTCATACAGAAGCTTTAAAGGTAGATTAGAGTAGAACACTCTTACTGGAAACCAAGTCTTATAATTATGAATTTCCAGCCAGAAATGAACTAAAAAATTCCTGAAAATACAGGAGAAAAAATTATTAAGATAATTATTACCCCCAAAAGAAAGAAAACATGGAAACAGCAGTGGAGTGGAGGATCCAACCAAGAATTCTACATTAACCATTCAGAGTTATGATTTGTGAACTCAAGCTCTCAGCAAACATTACATCATGTCCATAATGAGCAACAGGTGGTTAAGGGGAGAAAACGATACAGCTTATCTTCCTTGTGGCTTTCAGAAGTCATCCTTACAAAAATTAATTGTCATACTGAAATGACAAGTCTGAAACCTTTTATAAGATTTTCTAATCAATCATTGTTATATTTTCATGTACTACGTGCACTTCCAAACTGACAGTTATTCAAAATATCTCAATGAACACCTTTTGTAAATGTACATACAATTTTGGAGGCTTTCCCCTGAAGGCATAAAAGAATGTCTGAAAAAACTACAGCAATAAAATAATCCCTCTCTATAGAAGTTGGCTGCACTAACTCGACAGTGTTTAGTTCCACAGTGGGCATCTCAGTTTGCTATGATAGCTTAAACCAAAAACATGCAAACTGAGCAAGGGTAGGCTGCTCACTTTGCATAATTCAATAAAGTAATTTAACTAAATTAAGAGAACTCTATGATCTGCAAGATTGAAAATATGTTCTAATGAAGAAAGGCCAAAATTCATTTTGAAACACATTAACCAAGTACTGACAACATTTTTCATATCATATACATATTTTTTAATTAAATGAAGGCATGATAAAACAGAAATTCTCTCCAGGTTCATAACTATCTCATTTGCTTCTTTACTTTTTACATTGAATGTAAGGTTATTATAAGCCTAAAATATGTAAGCATTCAGCAACGGAATGTTTGAGCTTTGTTGACAAAGCATGTACCCTTAAGTCCTCCATTAAGTAGCATCATTATCATTTTTCATCCTATCTGCCCAGCCTCAACTAGCTACACCTAAATTTAAAGTATCTTTGCTTCAGAACCCCTGGGTGGGATTTGGCTTCTCAGTTACTTCACAGAGGGGCAGCTGGGAGAAAGGGGTAAAGAAACCAAGATGAAAACTAGCCCCAAGCTTCCAGTTATTTTCCTAAATCCTGACAGAGTGTCAGCTGATGAAAGAAGTTAACTCATCTCCACGTAGAGCACTGCAGATGGCCTCCATAGAAATCCTCTCAAATGTCACCGGAAGGGTTGCCAATGTCTTTGTGAATCACTCTGGCTCCTTAAAGGGGGGCTGGAGGCAGTAATCCGCGGTCAGCGCAGCTCCTCACCGGAACACCAAGTTGGATGTGTCCTTAGGAACTGCGCCCAGGACAGAAGCCTCTCTCTCCTGGCTCCATGCAGATCAAATGGAGAGAAAAAAAAAAATGTCTAGCAGTCCTGGCCTCTGGCTCCAAGCAAAGGAACATCCAGCGTCTCTAAAACTAGCTCCCTCTTAAAAACCCGTAGAGAAATTCTCCAAGGGGTTCTACAGTTGATCACTTTCATCCTTCAGAAGATCCCGGCAGCCTACAAGATCCCTGCACCTTAGATTTTACCAGGGTGCTTAAAATGTAACCAAATGCATTGCAAACGCGTTCTGCATTAAAGTGAATGCTGAAACACAAATCAGATGGGCAATTTTATGTAATCAGGAGCAGTTCAACTTCTGCGTACTGGTGCCGCCAAACAACCTCCCACTCTTGGAGAGCGGGCATTTATAAATTTTACATCTTCCTGCCTCCTCCCTCAAATTCCTTAATGGACCATTAGTAACGGATCGATCCTGGTTACTTTAGTAACAATACAACGCGAAGGCACACATGCCGTGTTGACTAGCGCCAGAAACACCATTCAAAAGTTGAGAAGGTAGAGCCAGCACTTTGTAAATCTTTGGGGTTTGGGGGTAGAGGACCAGGGGGACAGAGGGACAGAGGGAGGGGGTTCAGTGGGAACCCGATGGATCCCAACTCCTGTACATCACCAAAGCAAGTGGTCCCTTGCCCCAGCCGGGAGGAAGGCAGCAGAGCTGCTAAGTTAGCGGCAGTGCGCAGCTCTGAACCCCCAAATCCCTTTCTAGGAAAACAGACCCCACTCCCACCCCTCCCGGCCCCGGCAAGCCCTCGCCACGGAGCTGAGCGCGCGCGCCTCTGGGGATGCGAGTGCGCAGCACTTACGTCTCGGAATTTGTTCCTCTGTCCGACTGCCTTGTCATACTGAGAGATTGTGGTGAGCCATTGTTTATCATCCAGAAAATTACCGCCGTCCGACCGCCCCCCGGCCGCAGCCACGGCCGCGGCGGCCGCCAGAGCCTGACTGCACCAAGCGGCTGCACACACACACAATACAGCGGGCACCGCGAGCATCTGGAAGGAGAGACACAGCCGGGTTGGGAGGGTGCAGGCAGTGTCAGACAGGGGTACGGAGACCGGGGCTCCCCAGGAAGACATGCATCGGCAGCGATGGGAGCAGAGGGAGGCAGAGGCAGGCAGGAACGCGGGTGTCCTCTCCCCGCCGGATGCGCCCCCAGACCCCGCACTCATGCACACGCAGACCCGGGAAGAGAGCGGGGATCAGGCAGGAAGCCCCAGCCTCGGGACCCTCAGCGGGCAAAGAAAGAAGCCGTTTCGTGCACATCACCTTGCAGTGCGCCGGCTCTGAGCTCGCAGCTCCTGCTGGAAACGTAGCCCAGTCTGCCAGCTCCCTGCTCTCGGGAGCTGCAGCACGCGCCGCCGTCTGGAGCCGTCCACTCAGCTCCTGCGCCCACGCGCGCCCCGTGCCCACCCTCCCCCCGCGCCCGGCGCCCGCCGGTTCCCCTCGGTTCACCCGCTCCTCCTTCCCCACCTCCTCCTTTCCCCTCTTCCACCTCCTCCAGGCCCACCTTCCGCTCCCGGAATCCCAGCTGCAGCGAGTGAGTGGGCTCCGGATGCGACGCAGCGCTGGAGCCGGAGGATGCCGGAGCTCCGGGCCTAGAAACCCGCGTCTGCTTTCTAACATCTCCCCTCCGAAAGGGGCTCTCCGAGCCCGAGGCAGCTTGCTGGTTCTCCCTGCGCCCGGGTGATCTCTCTCGGAGTCCGTGGTCTCTCTCAGTTGCCCTGCTCTGCGATTTCCAGGGTAGTCAGGTAGATGTGCAAAATGAGATCTGAAGAAAACTTTATGCTTCACCAATTGCTTGGGTTCTTTCTAGCCTGTAAACCTGGACTGAACTCAGCCCTGGAGCGAGGCCATCACCGGGTCTGGGCAGATCTGCCTGATCAAGAAATGCAGTTTGTTGTGGGTATCTGGACTAGGTTAAAGACATGAACCGGTTCTCTTCCCTTTTCAAGGTAGAATCACATAGGGTCTTTTAGTACACGTAACCCTCACGCACAGAGTAAGTGCATTTTAATGGCTTTATAGAAACTCCTTGGTGACTGTGTTATGTTCTAGGATGGGAATCAAAAACTTTAAAGGCCTCTGTGTTTTTTTTGTTTTTTTCCTGCAAAAGGAGAAGAGTGCTTTGATGCCCTAATATTTCAATTCTTCATGACACACACACACACACACACACACACACACACATATATATATATATATATATATATATATATATATATATATACAATTAAAAATTACCCCCTATAAACAGAATCAGCTGAGTGGACACTCCCACATGCTTACAGGCTTCAGGTGAAGTGAGCATTACATTGCAATTCAAGAGGTTTCTGGAAGCCAAAAGACTACATAATGTTCTGTGTCCATATTTGAATTATTAGATATGTTGTCCAAAACTCTAGCTCTCAAAGCTTTGAAATGGTCTTGCAGTTCCCAAAATTTCAGGAGCTATTTGAATACCAACAAGGCCTACTATGTTTATTTCCAATTCAATCTCAGATGACAGTTGTGTAACATTTTTCAAAAACATTAAAATGTAAATTAAACGACAATTGCAATTAATTTATAACTTTAAATGTGGGGTTGCAATCAATGTGTAACAATTTAAATAAAAGGAAAAGCTACTATTTTGAACTCATTGAATGACATTAACATGGAAAGCTACTATTTTTAACTGATTAAAAGATGTTTTCTGTAATTCCCCTCATTTCTACTATGCTGAATCACAGGGAAAGAGCACGGAATCTGCCACTGCAGTTCACAGAAGCCCTAACTGACATAAACATTTATCAGATAACTTAGAGGACCCTAATGTGTCCTAGTTTTCCAAAAGGAGGAAATTACCTTAGGCTAGTTGTGGGGAACCTTTCCATGCACTTTAGATTGTTTAAATTCTTGTCTGGTAAGTGGTTCACCCTGTCATTATTTCTTCCTGTCCTGTGGTCTTCCTCCTCTTCTGCCTCCATCCTCATCTATCTACATCAGAATGTGAAGAAGTACTCTTGATACAATAAGAATGTTTCATCATGTTTTAAAACCTCATTCATTTAAAATTTAAATCTAATGATGAAAACAGAAGTTATGACTTGGGTGAAATCCTGATGCATGGCAGATGTCAATAATATTTAAAGTAAAAATGGCCTTTTAAAAAAACCTTTCTAGCCTATCTCTAAAAATGAAGTGTGTTTGATGTATTCTAACTCGCCTCTCCTAACTTGTTCAAGGAATCTTTTTGCTTCTAGCTTTCACTGACAACTATCCAAAATACAGCACCAGACTTCTTCAAATTATAAACATTTGTGGACAAGGAATAACTGTACACATCTTGAAATAAAAGATTCTGATAGAGTAACTTCATATCTGATGGTACAGTAGAATCTATAAGGGAACTGCAAGTTTAAAATTCTAAAGTTGGAAGTGATAGTTCTTACATTTGTACTGCTCTGAAATCTATCACAATTCCCAGAGTTCCATCCTGCAAAATCTTTACCATTATCTCTGCTAATTTCCTGCGCATGTTGTTTTAAAGAGAAATAGTTCACTCACTGTTGCTATTAATGACTGAAAAGCCTTTTCTGTCACTTTCTTTATATAACTGAACATTTGGGTCTTCAAAGACCCTGCTCTCAACACTGAAATAGTCTTGGGAGGATTCACACTTCAGTTAACACTTTGGTTATCTCTTTAACACCTCAGTAGGGATTAATTGAAAGCCTACTATGAGCAAAACACAGCAAGGAAGAGCAGAGGAAGGGTATTGGATGTGAGGTAAGATGTAAGGGGGTTGGTGGAAAAACTTGCAAGTCAAGGTGGGTGTGTAGTAAGAAGAATGTTTTATCATTGCTTCCCAGCATCCCAGTATCCCAGTATATCCCAGTCTAGGATATTCAAGGGTAAATAAATTAATGCACAAAGTGGAGTGTGCTGGGTAGCGTGGGCAGAGCAAGTCTCTGCTGTTAGGAGACTAAGTGATGGCCTAGGTCTGGGCTTGGCCATTATGTTTCTCTTTCACAAAATCAGAACTCCCAGGGAGAAAAAAGTTCTCAAATTCCCAGCCTTTTTCTCTGTCACTTAATAAATTCATCCCTCCTCTGGATTTTCTTACCCTCCTTTTCAGATTCGCCACAGATCCATAAAGATAAATACAAAATATATAATGACAGGGGTCTGTTTCTAATCATCCTTGGAGTTGGATCTTTGAAGACCTCAATGGTCTTCAAATTTCTTTTCTATAAATACACAGTACAATTTCATTAGTTTCTTTTTCAGAATATGCTAATTGATTGTTGCCTCTAGCCACTGCAAGGGTAAATAGGAAAAGTTCAATTTATGGTACAATCTCCATGTGCCAGATGCTTTACATACATCTTTACAGCCAACTCAAGATCTTATGGCTTGTAAATACAAAGGGATAACTTTCTATAGTTATTTAGAATTATTGTACATCCTGCTTTTATATGTTTTCTTTGTTCCATATTTACGTCCTTCAGTTCCACTGCCTGCATATCTCTTAGCTATCTGTGGGGTATATCATTTTCTGGTTAAAAGATTTAATCACTTTAGCAAAAATGATGAAAGGGAGCATTGCTAATTCAGGTTATTTGATAAACTATGGTGGAAGTCATTCTCTTGTCATGCTGAGCCCATTAGTTAAATGATAACTGTGTCCACTAAGGCTTTCAGTCTCAGTGACACCAAGCCAGGATCCTGGAACTCAATCCTGACTGACTGGCTTGGAAGGGACTTGCAAGCAGGCAGTCGTGAGTTCAATCCCCGGTACCAATAAAAAGGAAAAAGGCCCCCCAAAAAAGGAAGGGACTTGGCCAAGCCTCTCACCCTGTCCTTACACAAAAATATTTGCCAATCATGCAAATGTTCGTCTTTTCTTACAACTAGCTGAGAGAAGGTAAGGAAAGATGGGCATTCATAGGCTTCCTGAGTGTCTGATATTATCAAGACAGATAATTTAATGGTAGACAAATTGTCATAAAAACACAACTGGTTCGTTGCTATTTAATCATCAGCATAGAAAAACATATCTGATTTGTAAAAGTCAACCAGGAGATTGCAGCCAGTGTCAAATTCACCTATGAACTTAAACATGATCAAAGAGGGGAATAAAGAAAATCTTGGGTATTACAAATCCAAGACCAAAGAAAAGACTTGCTGATACCATCATAGGACATGTGAAGAAAGAACCTTTGAAATCCTCCTTTTGGAAATGCATGTACGAAAACATGTAAATCTTATAATTCATTTGTTCTTAATTTTGTAGAGTGTGGGCTCAAAAAAGAAAAAAAAATAGGGCTAGAATGAGATGCAAACAGGCTTTTGTTGTTGTTTTTATAGATGGCCCTGGTTAAGCAAACTGACAATATATTAGATACTTAATTTAATAAACAACATCTCTTGTGTTTTAACTTCCTTTAAAACATTCAGTAGATAAATGAATTTTAAAAGTTGTAATAAATATGAGAAACACATCAATCAGTTCAATTACTACAACTCATACGGATGCATTTCCAACACTTAAACGAAAGTGAGTCTGATTGAATTAATTGGTTAATAAGCAGACGACACTGAGAAGTGACCAATGAGGCAATTAAAATTTGTATTTAAAATTGAGATAGATTTCTTGACTTTTCAAAGAAACCATCAAAAATTTTCAATAAGCATTTACTGTAAGTATAAGATTTTTAGGGATATAAGATATAAGATAAGGAATATAAGACATAAAGATAAGGAATATAAGAGATAAAACAGAAAAAAACCTTTAAAATAATTTCATTTTAGGTATTGCACAGAATTGTACACATTCTTTTATCAAGTTTATTCAATTTAAAAATATGCATATGAAAAACTCCTTTCTTTGAGTCAAAATGTTATTTGGCTGTGAAAGACTTTAAGGCTATAAAATGCCTGCGTTAGTTCCAAATCTAGATCTAAAAAGAAATGTTTATATTTGCAAGTGTTCTTTATTTTCTCATATTTTCTGACTAATGGGAATAAATCTTATGTAACATTCTCTATAAATCATTATTAGTTAACACTTTTTAAATAATAAAAATTTCTTCCCCCATTCTAGTGCAAATCCTTGACATTGAAGTTTGTCCTCTTGGATAAATATGGAGCTTTCTTCATGGAGGCCACTGTACTGAGAGAGACAGAGGTTATGATTATGATTTCTGCATATAATGCAAGGTACCTGTAGGATAAGAGAAATGGAGGGAGTACTTGCTATAAAGCAGAAATATAAAAATTAAAAGTGATGAAAGTTCTGACTCAAATTTAGAAGGTCATTTTCTTGGTGTTTATTTTTTAAATACTTGTTCATCTCTATACGATGTGTGATAATTGTGAAATCAGGGATAAAAAACATGCATAACTGATACCAATATCTCATTCCACCAAAAGTCATACTTTTATTGAATCAAGAAAAACACATAAATTAATCTAATTAGAGTGCAGTGAGTGAAAATAAAAAAAAAAATGTGGCTTCTTCTTGAACTCACTTAATCCATGGATTTTCCAGTATGAAAATTGATCCTGGAAAATTTACATGTTTGTACAAATACAGCACTTAAAAATCTGACATCACAGAAAAAAAGTTCTTTTCCTACAACTTAGTCACTAAGAAGGGTTATGTCTATCTTAGAAACTCCAACAGTCACTACAGTCAC